TCTTAATCAGATACCAAATGGGGACACCGGCTGGAAAAAGGAACGTGGCATATCGAAAACATATGGAACAAGCCACGCAAAAATTGGAAATCAGAAAGTGACATAAGAGCCAAACTAAAAAGGAGTTCACCACCTACAAACAAACATAAACCAAATTGTTGATTGCATCCCTCTATTCTGGAGCTACTAAGATCGGAAAAAAAATGGCAGGACGGCGATTGGGCCACCACTAATGACTCCCCAACGGTTCAAGAAGTCCTTGCCTTCAAGAACTATGAAGCTCATAACAGCAACTGGATTTGTTGTGATATCTTCACCTTAGATGAACCGGGAAACCCAGTAAGCCACATCAACTTAAGAAACATAGCAGAGGGATCATTCAAAATCGAAAACCTGAGAAGAATCAGAATTATAGAAGGAGAAATCAACAGAGTTTACAAACCCCAACTAAGGGTACAAAGCCTAGAGATTGACCCTGTCGGATGGACATGGAATACCTCCACCCACCTCACCCCTGTCCCCAACCCCATAAAACTGACCGATTATACACCAAAGTTAGGCTACCGCCTCTTCACCAAACCTATATTCATATCGAAAACTCTCCACATCAGGTGGAGAAAAGAGGAACCACAATTATCCAACACCCTCTTCAACCCCCCCTGGGCCTCAATCTTCACCACAAGACTGGTCAAGATAGCCAACCTAAGATGGTTAATCATCTTCAAAGCAGTACCAGTAAACCAATGGCTGTCACGTAGACGCAACCTAGGAAACAGATCGGAACAAGACACCTGGTGCAAAGTCTGCAACACTCAATCCATAGAATCACTAAATCAGTGCTTCATAGATTGCCCAAAAGCCAGATCTATCTGCCAAGCAATAGAGGTTTCATGGAACAAAATCACAAACCTACCCCTCTTAATTCATCCCGCCACATTATTCCTCGAACTCAAACAATCCCCTCCACTCAAGGGTTTTGAAGCCTTCCTCGCCCCACTCATTAAGAAAACCACCCCCTGGACCATATGGAGAAACAGATGTGACAAGACTTTCGATGATCGACTCACTTCCCTAGAAAACCCAATCATAACCATAAAACAACTAATAGACACAAAAATCCCCGCCCTTTGGAAAAAACAACTCAACCAAGTCCCAACCGACCCCGAGAAAAAAGCGAAAAAAATCAAGAAGTTCATAACCCTCAAACTAGGAAAAGGGCAGGTGGGCCCACAGAAAGGTCACGTCCACGCCATCGGTTACCGTGCAAACTCAGGGCTGCGCTAAAAATCGCGCTAGCGCCCGGCGAAGGCCCTACGGGCCAGCGCCAACCGCAACCCGCCCCTGCCACCCTCCCGCCCAGCCGCCCGCGCACCGTGCCCGCCCAACTTCGAACTTTCAAAGTAGGGCGACAACGCCCGCCATCGCCCCGAGGGGAGAAGACGACCTGCCAACGCGCGCGCCCTGTGCGCACGCCACCACCGCGAGAAGGGAGCAGTTGGACTTGAACTGGAGACTGCCCACCCGCCGGTCACTCATCTCGATCTCGACCCTCAAGTTCGAACGAAGAAGGAAGCCACCACCACTAGACGTCAACAAAGCGATAAGCTCACCATCTCTCAACTTCGCCAAGGTCAGCCGCTCGTCGCCCAGCGCGACCCCATCGGTAGGGCTCTACCCCACCTCCGGAGGTAAGCCGATGTGCTGCAAACACTGCCCGGAGTGCGCCATCACAAGGATCTACCTACACGGAGAAACAGTTGGCCCACCCATTTCGGCTAGCAATCCTGAACCGACCCACCTTCGACGGAAACCACCCCATCGCCTCACAACTGGAGTGCACACCGGCGAATCGTCAAGCGAAACTGGAGTCAAGGAGATCCCACCAGCGAACTCCTACAAGCAGCCCAAGAACCGCCGCTAAGTTGGTGACCGGCTCCATACCACACCCTGTCGCCACTCCCCCACTCCGATCCCTATTTCTGATAACTCCTCTTATCGTACCCCCTCCTCCCCCTCCCACCCCCTTCCCCCCGATCTTTTCTACCCATCTCTACCTGTACTAACCCAACGTTCCAAGCCACTCTCCCCTTCTACCCATCCCTACCCGTCGCACATGTGGCCAGCGAAGCCATCACTCGGATAACGATACACCCTATATTCCACTCCCCCTCAACCCCCGCCCGCCTCCTTCTCCCCTCACCGTTCCTTGCCACCAAACTCCTACCAGCCCCATCACCTCACATCGCCCCCAGCCCAACTGCTCAACCTCCCTCCCACCTGCTCCCACCCCCAAGACCCCCCCTCCACCTGTCACGAATCACAGTAAAGCAAACCCAACGCACCCCATAGCACACCACCCCCCATAAACCACCCGACCTGCCCAAGCCGTATCTGCCTGACTCGCTCCACTGTCCTCAAACCACCAAATTACCACATAGGCACCCCACGCTCACTCCCCCCCTCAGCACCCTCTCCCCCGCCACCCCCCAAATCCCGGTCGGGCATAGTCCCGACCAGGCCACACAGGCTGCATGCATACAGCCACATTTCCCGTAGTCATCCAACCGATCCAGACCTCCGCACAAGACCTCGCCCCTCCCCT